AAGAGATATTGTTGTAAAAAATAGTTGTCAGTATTTTTAAAAAAAGAAAAGAAACTTCACCAAAATTCTGTTCAAAACAGGACACTCCCAATAGAATAAGATTAAACACAATGGCATAGAATGGCTGAAAAAGCTCTTGTAGGGCTGTAATAATGACATCATTGGATTGTAATTCATAATAATTCAATTTTTTCAATAAAAATACAATAACTTTAGGAGAGCCAAAAAAGCTTTGAAAGTACAAAGACATGGAGATCACCAATCAACCATAGTTCCGGAAGTAGATAGAAGATAATTAAGGATTAATGTGCCAATTTCAGTTCATTCTTTGGTAGTGATCAAACACGACATTGGGGATGAACACAGCATCTTTCTCTTCTCTGTCAAAGACCCAGTCAATGCCCAATACAAAGTTATTCGGCTAGAGTTTATTAACTCTATTCTGGTCGAAATATTACTGTCCACTCAAAATCTACAAGTTATCGATTCCAATTACTATGCTCATCATCATTTTAAGACAATATTATTCCAAGGTTTCGATAACATCTATTTATACTTGAAGAAAGAAGGCAAAAAAATAAACAAATAAAAAGAAAATAAAATATACCCAAATTACAAATTTACCTCGCCATAAGTAATCCCTCCAAGACATAGAAACACTAGTTTGGAACCTATGAGACCAAAACCAAGTGATAAAGTTTGAAAACACAGCTTGCATTGCAAAGTGGATAGTATTCATCAGGAAAGGAGCTGGAAACTTTCCCATAGTGTCACCTAACAGACTTTTATTGTACCTGTTTACAAGTCCAGCATAAGAAAACTACAGGAAAGTGGGGGGAAAAAAATCAAAAGATGAATTTATACATCGTTTGCTTGCAGAAGGAACTTACAGGTCAAAAAGAGGCTGAAAGTGTACCATAAAAGTATGAAAAACAATGTCTTTAGAATATCTGCAGCAGAAACAAGATTTGCTGAGCTTCCTCTCAATGATCCATGCCTAGCTAGAGAAACGGTAGAGTCACCAACTTTTTGCCTTGCAGCCCCATTTTCAATGTCTAAAGGAACATACTTCTCAGATCCATTACCATTCAGATAAACAGTATCATCACCCATGGTGCCAACACCATTCATATGCACACCCTTATGCTGATACTTTATTTGCGACTGATCTGTGTCCATAAAAGGCAATTCAAAATCAGAATCTCTGGCTTCCTCTCGGCTAGCATCTGCATTACTTAATTGTTGATCCAAATGGACCCTTGAATCTTCATCACACCAACGAGAAAATGAAAGCTCTCGACTCATACAAAAGCCCAGGATTTTATTGTCGATGTTGTCAGTATCCCTCAGGTCAAACTTTTTTGAATCCAAGCTCCCTTGCACCATTTCGATCTGTATAGTGAGCCATTTATGTGCTCTAGACGAATCAAGCCAACTGATGACCAATTGATTCACCACTTGGTACCAGATTAAACAATACAAGTTCACTCAGGTGCATAAAACAGCTAGCACCTGAACCACAGTTCAGGCAGGGGACCTTTCTTCATAATCAAAGTTGTCCAATCACAACAGAATAAACAAACAATTAGTAGATATAGTCGTCTTCACGCTCACACAAGACAGGCAGATATGTACGGGTTTCCTAAACCAACAGAAGCAGCTTCTCCTAAGCTTCTAGATAGCCACTCTGCTATAGTAGCTCAGATCAAAACTAGAAACGCCAACTTTACCTATACAAAAGAAAAATTCATACGGGGATGGCTAAATCAGCTTCATTCATATTCAATCATAGATATAGACTAGAATATTTAGCAGAGAAACCCGAGGATTAGTGTATCTTTATATCCAAATCATAATCTGAAAACCCACACCATAGAATTCGAAACTTAAGATCAAAAGAAATTTTTTTCAAATAAACCCCAATCCAAAGCAAATGCAAATGACCCAGATGAACCAACCATGTTTCCAATGAACAATCAACAACACATTAAGGTAGTCAGAGCATGAACCACACCAAACAGTCAAAGCACAGGGCAACTCACCTGAGAACGGTTGACAAACAGAGAGTGTGAAGGAAGCAAAGGAGAATAAAATGTGAAGTAGGGGGAGAGAGATCTGAAGGGAGTGTCTTTGGATCGAAGTTTAGGTGAGAAGCGTACAGTCAGAAGCGGTGTTGGTTTGGACGTAATCGTCTGATATTGGTGATGCCGCTCCTGTTGTACCTTCCTCAATCGATATCAGTGTTTCTTCGATGTTAAAGAGAAAGGAACATCATTGTTCCTTCAATTTGAAGCGAATAATTTCGCTCTGCCTTGTGATTTTTCAACGCTTCAAATTTTGGCCATGGCCCAGAGGCTGGGCAAAAACCTTCAAATTTTGGTCAATTCCTCTCGTGAGGCGGCAAGGTTAGGGAGAATTACAACAAAATGCCCAAAATTCCCCAACAATTAAAAATGTTAATTATTAATCTCGCTATTTTAACTACTAATGTAAAGGGCAAAATTGATTCTAAATTTTTAGGACAAATTTATACCTAAAAATTTTTGGATACTAGAAATTTTGACTGAAAACTTTTGAGACAAATTTAAACTTTAACTTTAAAAATTTACTATTAAATTCACTTGAAATTATAATTTTTTAACAATGAAATTATAATTCTCTCATATTTATCTTTTTTTTTTTAAGATAATCCTTCTAATAATGGTAGTTTTAGCTAATAAACTTGATTAGTAAGGATATTTTAGAAAATGCAATACCTGTTTATTACAAATAACTAACTTAACCTATTTTCTTAATTTATTCAAATTAGTTAACTAGTTCTTATATTACCTCTGGTTCTTAATATAAGACTTTGTTTGATTTTTATTTTAATCCTGAATATAAGAGTCCAATTTACTTTGTCTCTCATATTTATCCTTTTCTTTTCAAGATAGTCCTTCTAATAATGATAATTCTAGCTAATAAACTTGATTAGCAAGGATATTTTAGGAAAGACAACACCTGTTTATTACAAATAACTAATTTAATTTATTTTCTTAATATATTCAAATTAATCAACTAGTTCTTATACTACTTCCGATCCTTGATAAAGACATTGTTTGACTTTTATTTTAATTCTAAATATAAGACCCCAATCCACTTTGTCTTTCATATTTATTTATTTTTCTTAAAGATAGTCCTTTTAATAATGGTAATTCTAACCAATAAACTTAATTGGTAAAGATATTTTAGGAAAGACAATATATATTTATTACAAATAATTAATTTAACTTATTTTCTTAATCTACTCAAATTAGTTAATAACTCTTATATTTAAGATTAGAAGTAGTATTTAGGGCCGGAGGTAGTATTTGCTTGTTTTTATATTATAAATGAGTTTTTAATCATCTTCCGCTGTTCTCCAAATGTTATGTAGAACAGTGTTGGAAGAGCCATGAAGCTTACCTTTTCATATCCTACGAGGAGCCAAGGTTTGCGCATAGACAGAACAAATGTTAACAACTCTATGATCAAAAATTCTACCATAACCAGCAAGATATTGTTAAAAACTCACTCCATCTTAGGTATTAGTTGTGAGTACCTCTCCTAATAGAAATTAAAATCTCAGTTTGTCACGTGGTGATTAAATTTTATAATCATCTGTAACTTGTAAAATTTCATTGGGCATATTGTGTCGGCCCATGAAGAGGGATATGTCCAAGTGGGCTTTTTATGGGCTTAAACAACAGAAACATTGTGACACCCAAATACAATAATGGGTTGTGATTTAAAACTGAGTTAAGATTCTCCAACCGACCCAAAACACAAAAGACTCAGAATGTCTCTGCGTGTGTCTGTGTGTGTGGAAGTTTAGCCCAATGTTGTGCAGGGGGGAAAAAAAACCGAAGAAAGAAAGTTTAGCCAAATGTTATAACTGAGTATCCTTCTTTTTTTCTTAATAAGAATAATTGAATATCCTTCTCAGTTCTCACCAACTGTTAAACGACATGTCACCTGAAATGATAAAAATAGATTTGGACTTTTTATAAGCAATTTATAGACGGTCGTGTCAAGAAAACGAGCTCCAAAAATGTAAGAGTAGGATTGATTCAGTAATTAAACTAAAAGAAAATTTGAAAAAAAAAATGCATAAACGAGTGGCAATATAAATGCTCCTTCTGGTCCTTTATGAAAATTCTCTTATAATTTATGAAAACTAGATAAAATGAGTTAAATATTAAATATTTTAACAAGTTTTCAAAATTACTATCCCCTTTAGTCCTAAATGTATAATTGAGTCATTTGTTTTAATTCTAAATGTAATACCTCAATTCATTTTTTTTTTATCAAATCTATAATTTTTTGCAAATTATTATTATTGATTGTGCATATTAACAAAGGTTTTTATATGAAATATGTTTGATTGCAAATGATTAATGGTAGTATATCTTTTACAAATAAAGTAATTCAATTAATTCTTTTAATCTCCACGAATGAGTATTTTTTATGTTTTATGAAACAAAGTTCTTTTAACCTATTTATCTTTTATCGCGTGTAAAATCACTTTTTCACTGGTAATTCAAACCGTCTATAAGTAAGGGGAAGACAGGTAAAATGGAAAATCCATTATTTAAATTAAACCAAGAGTTAAAAAAAAAAAGGAGATAAGAATTTTTCAAGCAATTCATATTTCTTATCATTACTTTTTTTTTAATATCAAAATTGGTAATAAAAAAACAGGAAAAGGAAAAGACATAATGGAGGGTGAGACTGCTATATATTGACATGTGAGTCTCACCCGTTTGATCTTCATTCCCTATCTCCAAACAGTTTCAGTTTCTCAGCCTCCTTTTCTGTGTCTCTCAATCTCATTCCTCATTTTCTCTATTCTCTCTCATAATTTGACTTCTCAACATTATTTATTCCTATTCACTCATTTATAGCATCAAACTCTCTTTCTCTCTCCCTCTAGATCTCTCTCATTCATATATATATATATATATATATATAGTGAGTTTCACTAGCTTTGCTCAACAACCCATTATTTATTATCAGAATCCATATTCGCCAGTACGTAGTAGTGTGTTGGTTTGTTTCGGTTCAAAAATGTGTGATGGCGGAATTCACCATATCTGTGATATTTGTTTCTCTGCTATTTTCTCTCTCTTCTCTAACAGTAGAATCCGAAGGGAACATTAATAGCTGTGATTTGTTTGATGGGATTTGGGTGTACGATGAATCGTATCCTCTGTATGAATCATCGGACTGTGATTTCATAGAGAAACAGTTTGATTGTTCTAACAATGGTCGTCCTGATAACTTCTATCTTAAGTATAGTTGGCAACCCTCGGCCTGCAAATTACCAAGGTAAGTACGTACATGCTGAATAATTTAGTTTTGTTGGTTAAAAGTTTTAAATATGTTATACTCTTCCTGAACTCAACGTACAACTTAATTAGAGAGTTAATTTTGGTTCTACATGTAATACTTATTTCACATATTTATCAGTTTTTTCAAACTAATCTTATTAATATTTTCTCAATAATAACCAAGTAGGAGAGGGAAGAGGAAAATTAAGAAAGATATTTAAGGTGTTTAAAATATATATTAGCTAATTTTACTAACATCCTTAATCTATTCAAATTAGTTAATTAGATCTTACATTAAAGATTAGAAGTACTCTCCTCCATTCTCATTTTTAGAATTTAATGCAACATATAAACCAACGAATTAACGATGGAATTTGCAAAGTCTGTCAAAAAAAACCATCATTAATTAATTAGTGATGAAATTCTGTCATTAAACTAAATTGATTATTCATGATGAAAATTCCATTTGCTGTTTTTTTGTAGTATCTTGTAATGTAATTTTTTTCTAGTTAAAGTACTTGTTTAATTCATTAGTAAAAAATAAGTTTTGGATTTTTTTTGGGGGGTTTGAGCAGGTTCCATGGTGAAGATTTCTTGGAGAGGATGAGAGGGAAAAGTATAATGTTTGTGGGAGATTCTCTGAGTTTAAACCAATGGCAGTCACTCACTTGCATGCTTCATAAATCTGTTCCTCAGTCTCAGTACACCGATGATAGGACCGGACTTCTCTCCACCTTCACTTTCCCGGTTAGATCTTTTTCTCTTTACATACCTCAAATTCAATTACCATGTTCTATCCTAAAAGTAAAAACTAGCTATTTTGATTTTAAATATAAAACATCAATTTACGTTAATTTATGATTTTCTTTTTAAACTATCCCCGTTGTTGCACATATTAATTAAAGAGAATTTATATCAATAAAGTAATTCTCAACGTAAATAATTAAAATGGTAATTTAAAAAATCAACACACAATATTTATTTTTATAAATAATTAATTTGACTAATTTTATTGATCTCTTAACTCGTACATTTATGATTATTAAGAGTATTTCAGATGTATTCACTAAGTGATAGGTGACACAAAAGATAGAATTTAGTGTTTTAAGTTGAAGTGTCTGTATATGATTCCTCCGTTTTAACTACTGGTCTCTTTATTATATTGATTAATCATGTATAGGAAGAAAATTAAGTATCTAAATCATGTGACGAAAATAAAAAACACGATAAATAATTAGCCAAGAAATATTATGCTACTTTTATACTACCTCTGGTCTTTAATATAAGACATTATTTAACTTTTATTTTGTTCTTAAATATAAGATCCTAATCCATTTTGCCGCCCATATTTATATGTTTTTTTTCCAAAACAGTCCTTTTAACAATGATAATTTTAGCCAATACACTTGAATAGCAGGAATATTTTAGGAAAGGCAACACATAGTTATTACAAATAACTAACTTAACTTATTTTTTTAATCTACTCAAATTAGTCAACTAGCTCTTATATTTAGTAACGAGGGTAGTATAAGAACATTATGGTTATAGAATAGTCATTAATTATTAATCCTTGTCATAAAAAAAGTAATCTCAAACTAGTTAGTTATCTCCCACCTAACAGAAGGAACTCATGTATCAATCACATTTACAAAGGATCAATCACGCAACCTCAAGCTTAAAGAGAGGCTCAGCGTCAGTTGAGTCAAACAGCTTTTAACTATCAGAATAGGCTACATGCATGAATTACTTTAATCAATTTTAACTTTATTTAACTCAATAAAAATTAGACAAACGATTATTCCTCCATAATCTTGGCATTTTCGATAGGGTTAATTTATCAGCATATATATATAAATACTAATCATTTTCAAATTAGAGAGCTTGCATTGTGTCAATCCTTATGATTTATTCTCTGGTCAAATATTTGTTAATTGTGCATTAAAATAACTCCAGCACAAATATATGAATAAATTGCAGGAGTATGATGTGAAGGTGGTGATGAGTCGAAATGTGTTTCTAGTGGATGTGGTTGATGAAAATGGTGGTCGAGTACTGAAACTGGATTCCATACAAGCAGGCCAATTCTGGAAACAGTTCGATGTTTTGATCTTCGATTCTTGGCATTGGTGGCTTCATGCTGGTAGAAGGCAACCGTACGTATATCTAACTATCTTATCTACTCCCTCATTTCGATTTCTTTTATATAAGGCTTTTTTGTTTTTTAGATTTTTTTTAAAATATATTTTGCTTCCGCATATAGCAAACTAAATAACATTTTAACCGATTAAACCATTAAATCTAATTAATGAATGTTGTTGAGAGAGATTTTAAGATTTCAAAAATATTAACTAATTTTAACTCAATTTCTTAATTTATGCAAAATTGTTCGTAAGTGATACTATTTATATACAAAACAAAAAGTAAATTGCTAGGCCTGGTTGTTATATTTGCGTGGTGCTACTTCTGGTCATAGTTATAAGATCTCATCTATAGTTTATAAATGAAGTAATAAAAGACCGGAGGTAGTACTAGAAGTATATAATAGTAGGTTCTTAAATGAAGAGTTAACATTTGATTAAAAATATGTTTTTAAAAAGATTTAAGGATAGATTTATTACACCTTATGTATAGTCGTGCAAATGTACTTTTATAGAGGCCGGATATATTATTTTGTATTAGTGAATGGATAAAAAATTAAGGATAGAGAATGCAATTAATTCTTCTTTTATTAAGTCTATTATAAAGACAAAATTATGTTGTAAATACGGTCTTTGCATTATTTATTTGTGCAAAAAAATTAATTAAATTTTAATTTTAATGCAAATTGTGTTTTTGTAGATGGGATTATATTCAAGAGGGAAATCAAACACTGAAAGACATGGATCGTTTAGTAGCGTATGAGAAAGCATTGAAGACATGGGCCAACTGGGTTGACAACAACGTTGATCCTTCCAAAACTAGGGTTTTCTTTCAAGGTGTTTCTCCAGATCATATGAAGTAAGTGTAATTATATATATATTTATTTATTTCTATCTCTCAAATTATCAACGAAAATTATATTTTATAATAATTAAAAATTATTATATAATTTTAGTGGAAAGGATTGGGGAGCAGAAGGAACAAACACATGTGTGGGAGAAGAGAGGCCAGGAGAGACATATGGAGGGGGATCACACCCAGCAGAGTTGGTAGTACAGAAGGTTCTAGGAGAAATGTCAAACCGTAATTTAGTTTATCTTCTCAAAATCACCAATCTCTCTCAACTCCGGAAGGACGGCCACCCGTCAATCTACGGCTATGGCGGCCGCCGAGGAATCGACTGTACCCATTGGTGCCTCCCCGGTGTTCCTGATACTTGGAACCAACTCCTATATGCTGCTCTAATCAACCAAGATTAATCACCAAAAACATAAATGAATTCAAGTATATGAACTCACTAAATGTTAATTGATTCGTGTTGTGACAGAGTTTCCAATTCTAAACAAGGCGGATCTTATCCTACATGCTGTTGTCTTTTTATTTTAAGATTAATATTATTTGACATTTTGTTTCATTTAAGACAAAAAGAAATAAGATGTGATTTAAATTAATAAGATCTAGAAGCTAAAAAAAAATTAATAAGATCTAAATTATTTCAATTAAATTTGGATATAGTGTGATAGATATCGTAGCTAGAGATATTTTCCCTAGATTTTTTATGGTTTGTGCTCCAATATTTTAGATCAAATTCATGTTCCGCCACTAGTATGTTAAGTAACGATTTAATATGAAAGCTGAAGTTTCTCAAATTATTTTTGAAAGCATATTATTTTGCGCTCAATTTAATTTTTATAGACACGTACAAAGTTTTTTTTTATCGAGTTATTTGAATTTTTCCTCCCGATTTATTAAATGATGCATAATTGTAGAAGAGAACTACAAATGCTTTAGAATGATAATTTTATTTGGCAAAAAATTGATCACGACACTATTGAGAGATTTGTTTTATTTTCTATATCTCATTTTAATTTCTTGCAAGGCAGAAACTTTCTAAATTAAAGTGGTTGTCTTAGTTTTGAACAAAAATTAGTGTTAGACTTACTTGTTCTACAAAACACAATCTCTCATCTTAATCAGTCATTAGATAAAGCAGTTGGAGACTATTATCAATCATCTCACTTGAAAGCTACGCAACAATATGAATATGTGTGGAAGAGAAAATTGGAAAAATAAAGATGTAGGTCTTGATTATTTTTTAAGGACCCATATTGTCAGAAATTATACCCATTTTTCTCTTCTTTTTTTCTTTGCACTTTACTTGAAACGTACAGCAAGAGGTTAAATTCCCTTCAATAACTTTGGCCCAAGAAAATGTCTTCATCAAATTCAGTAACTATAAAAAAAAAAAAAGTAAAAAAGAGAAGGAAAGATATGAATAAGGCTGAAAATTAATATGAAAAAAAAAAAGGTAAGTAGATTGAAACTATATTTTTAATTTTTGGGGAAATCACCAAAAGAAATCCTGAAAATAGAAAAATTGTATATAGGGACTCATTCACAAAAATTGTTATCATTTGCTTATCAATTATTGTCAAAACCAATGCTAACATTGTAATGGGACCCTATTTATAATTTTTCTATTTTCAAGGTATTTTTTAAAGATTTTTATTTATTTTTTTCCCTCTCATTTTAATTATATGAAAAATAATTTCTTTTTTATTATGTCAAGGGAATATCTAAGTCCTAAATTCTCCTAATATCTTATTATTCCTTTCTTATCATTTAAACCAGTTTGAGTGATTATCAAGCCTATCTTATTGTGTCACTTTCATACATGGAAACTCCGCTTCTTCTATGAGGAAAGAATAACAATTAAGGATCTCGTCATAATATAAAAAGTGTTATGAAAAATGAGAAAAGTACAAAGATTGAGATGAGGGGGATGGAGAAAATAAGAGGAAATTGGAGGAGAAATTAAGGAGGAGTTCTCATTCACTTCATTGTCTCAAATGTGTGTACATCATCTCCTATTTATAGGACCCCAATATTGAAGACTAACCTAAAGAGTTACAAGTACATAAAGAAAGGAATTAAGCAACATAATTGTACAATTGGAGGTTATAGGAAATCAATACTTGAAACCCTTCAATTTGGGAGTTATAAGGTATAATGGCATTAACCATGAGAAGGAATCCTAAGGGGCTAAGGAGTTATGAACATCCACACAACATAATATTTACAACACTCCCCCTTGGATGTTCATAAATAAATATTATGCCTCATTAAAACTTTACTAGGAAAAACCCAGTGGGACAAAATCCCAGTAAAGAAAAAAGAGTACACAATCTACATTGAAGTTGTTTCGTTAAAAAACCTTAACAGAAAAACCCCTGGGACAAAATCTTTGCTAAAAAAAAGAGTATAATATGATCTTTACTCCCCCTAATGACAACATCACTTTTACTCCTCCTATCAACAGCATCACTCTCTATCATTTTTCATAACATCATTCAACAAAAATTAGTATTATTTGCTTATCAATTATTGTGAGAACCAATACTGATATTATAAATTAATTTTTGTTTGCAATTTTTCTATCTTTGAGGTCTTTTTTTTACTATTTTTCCTATTAATTACATTAATAAAGCAATTAAAAACCACATGCGAGATATTATTATAGAATAAATATATGGGACTTCTAATCTATTTAATTGAATATATTTTGCAAACAAAATTATCATAACAAAATCAATCATTTTGCAATCATTGATGCATTCAATAACTTGATCTACGGGTCAAGTAAGATACGAAATTATTTATTTTCTAATACATTTTTCTAAGCTAGATATGTATACTCAGATTATCTTATTCAACATAATATTTTTAAGCATTAGATGATTTTCTTCTATTAAATGCTTTTGGCATTTTAAATCCCTCAAGAATTCTCATGTAAACTTCATTATTTAGTGAGCCACATGTATAGGCTACAACGATATCTAACAGATGCATATTTCATTTTTCATATACTGCCAAACTAGTAATATATGCAAAAATTATTGCATATTTTCTCTTTTCCTTTTGCTTTTGGCCAAATTTCTATTTTCATATAAGAACCTCTTTGAAATCACGTGATATTATTATCAAAAATGTTGTCGACAACTTTATCTTTTTGGTTCCATTTTTCCTCTTATGACATAATTTATTAAGATCTCTTCATTACTTTTCAGGTACCTGAACCTCTTCTGGGGCTTTTTTTTTTCAACTAGTTATGTCTCAGTACTCTTCTAGAGCACATGCCTCCTTAATATAACTTAAATTTCATGCTCCTTTTTGTTCAATATAATTATATTGGAACCGATTAATCTCTCATGTTTCAGGCATGTCTCACTTTTATTTATACTAATTGGAGCATTTTCAGCTTGAATATGAGATATAGTAATACTCACTTAGGTCAGTAATAGCATCTGGCACATGTTTTGTAATATCTCATGGATACATTCTTTGATGAACTTCTGGTTCATACTATCATCTATATGAGAATATATACTTGATAATAATAATGCATTCTATATGTTATCTTTTCCAGCTACTCAATTTCTCTCCCTCATATTGGGAAAATTTTGTCGAATGACAATCAATTAATCATGCAGTATGAGTCTCCTCAATTCATTTGCTTCTTTTAGAAACATCCATTTTGTTTCTTTTAGATACAAACAAGAAGAAGGAGGTTTTTACCCAACATTCATTCCAATTTTTTATATCCATCTATATGTATATTGTGGTGGATCAATAGACATAAGCATTGCACATTCAAACTTTTAAGATGGAAAGTATTTGGCTTCTGACCAAAAGCCAATTTCATTGGGAGAATTTTATTGGCTTGATTTGCATAAATGTTGCAACATATCAAACTAAACAAGCCAACCCTGAGATGAAGATCTTGTACTCAAAAGTGTTGATCTAGCCATTCATAGAGGCTAATAATTCTGCCAGATCGTTCTGTTAAGTAGACTTTTCAATTATTTTTCTAACAAATGCATGTTGATCACTAAAATTTTGGGATATAAATTCACAATCTTTTTCAATAGAAATTTTCTAGATCTCATAATCTGGAACTTGTGCACTCAACATAATGATTACTCATATAATTTTGCAAACTTCAGGTTGCAAATTAATAATAATACATGTAACAATCTTATAGATGCATTTATCAAATTTATTAAATACTCGTATGGTTTACATGCTATTGGTATGGGCCCATATATCTGAATTTGATATATTTCCAAAAATGTAGAGATCCATTTTACATCATAACTAGTGATATCAATGTAATTAATTTTTCATTGAGAATAAGCAGCATATGAATTCTTGGATCATATAATATGTTGGCTATTCATGAAGAATCTTCTGGTTCTTCAATGAATGTCGATACATAATCATCAATAATTTGTTACATCATATATATTATCTATGATAATCAAACAAGCCACCCCAACTATACATTAATTAGGCGAGCAAACTTCTGGTTTAATGTAACAAGTTTCAAGTAAAACTCTATCCAACATCAACTTACACTTGTATTTTAACAGTCTCCCTCTCAAGTGTGAGTCATAAAAACATGTTTTCCTTATTCATGTATTTCAAAAACAGTGACTAGCATATAATAGACTAATAACCTCTATCACTTGGAAGTCCAAGTACTTCCTAGTTCATATATAATTATGGATTTTAATTCAATTTGGCTATTACTTTTCAAACTCTTTCGAAACCAAAGTTCTAATGTAGATCAATGGGTCTTTTTTTTTTTTTTTACCATTAATTCTTTATCTGCCCATAAAGGAAAATATGTATTAGTTCTTCAAGAACTATATTAATATTTTTACACATAATTCTTCAGGACCTAAGTAATTTAAGAAGAATAAGGAGACAAATTCATCTTAATAATATCGTAATACATAATAATAAATAGTTATAAGTATCATAAGTTTAACTTGTAATATATATAGAATTTACACATACTGCAAAGATGATTTTGTCCAACCAATCGAAATTAATATCAACTATAAATTTTCTCATGAAGTTAAATAAATTTTCATTTTCTCAATTCAAATGTGATATAAATATATGATTTTTTCTATCAAATGTCACAGCAAAAACTAATTTAATTGTAGATATACAGTTTTCTTTTATACTTTTTCAAAATGTATGAACTTAAAGAATTAAATAATGTTTGAATTAATCCAATAATCATAATTTTTTAAACTATAATTATCATTTGCACATGCTTAATTTATTCTCATAAACAAACTCATATAATTAAAAAGAACACAAATATAGAATATCTTTTAAAATAAACTTTCTGAGAATAAAGTGTAAAATTGAACTTATTGTCAAAACTTCTTAACATTAATATATATTATTTATTTAATTTGTAATACTCAAAATATATCTTTTGAAAAATTAATTACACATTGTATGAATACTTAACTTTTCTTTCTCAACTAATTTCTTGTTTAGTTAAACTCAAAACAATTTCAAATGCTCACAATAAAATTTATTGTCAATAAATCACAATAAAT